AATATTTTATTAAAATCTTCATTTAAATCTTTATTTTGTAAATAGAGATTTACAAAAAAAAAAAAAGGAATGGGGAGCTACTGAATAAACAGATCAAGAAAAAGGAAAAAAGGAGATTCCACAACTGATCAAACAAATTTTACCTTAGTACATTGGTATATTATTCATACTCAAACATCTCATTTAATTATATATACACTTAATAAAGAGCCACTACATAAAATGAAGAATGCCCACTTTAAAATTCAGATCAAAGCATATGCTATCGAAAAAATAAAACGAAAATTAAAAATTCTGTACAACACCCTGACTGGTGGCTCAGTTAGAGCATCATCCTGTGTACCAAGAGGTTTCGAGGTTCGATTCCTGGCCAGGGCATATGTCCGGGTTTTGGGTTCAGTCCCTGGTGGGAGTATGTATGGGAGGCAACCGATCCATGTTCCTCTCTCTCTCTCTCCTTTTCCCTCTGTGTGTGTAGAAATTCAATAAAAATAAAAACATATCCTCAGATGACGACTAAAAAAAATTCTGTACAACAAAGCAAGTCAATAATTGAATACAAGTACCCCCACTTTTTCAAAGTTTGCCTATGCCACTACTTCACTTACAAACTACTTCCATTAGTACCTATTTCACTAAACAAAAGGAATCCAGCCCTGCTGGTTTGGCTCAGTTGGTTTGAGCATTCCATGCACCAAGAGGTTGCAAGTTCCATTCCTGGTCAGGGCACATACCTGGGATACAGGCTCAATCCCCAGTAGGGGATGTGCAGGAGATAGCCAATTGATGATTCTCTTTCATGGATGTTTCTCTCTCCCTCTCTCACTTTCTCTCTCTCCCTCAAATCAATAAAAACATATTTTTTAAAAAAAGAAATCCAGCCGAAACCGGTTTGGCTCAGTGGATAGAGTGTCGGCCTGCGGACTGAAGGGTCCCAGGTTCGATTCCAGTCAAGGGCATGTACCTGGGTTGCGGGCACATCCCCGGTGGGAGATGTGCAAGAGGCAGCTGATCGATGTTTCTCTCTCATCTATGTTTCTAACCCTCTATCTCTCTCCCTTCCTCTCTGTAAAAAATCAATAAAATATTTTTTTTAAAAAAAAGAAATCCAAAGAGGACTTTCCCTTTAAATTTAATAGTAATTGCTTCTTCACTTCATTTCAGCTTACAAAAGGTTTCATAGGAACTCAGTTGGGGAATGGGAGGGGAGAACCTGTATGTATATAGGTTATACATGATAACTTATTATAATTTTTTGAAAATAGTTTTATGTATCATAAAACTACTAGATTTCTTATTACATGAAGAATACTCATTAAAGCTATCTAGCTAAAGAAAAATCATTTAGTACACATCAATATCTATACTAGTACAAACTGTAGAGACTTACAGACTTGAACTAAAAATGTGTGGTATGAATGGTACAACCACGTTGGAAGTTATAAACAATTAGTTTAAATGTACACCAATCCTATGACAGAACAATTCCATTCCTAGGTGCTCAACCCAGAGATATTAAAACATTCCACAAAAAAACATACAAAAATTGTTTGTAGCAGCTTTATTCACAATTGTCAATAAAATAAAATGTCCATTACAGAAAAACAGATATACAAATTGTGGTAAAATAGACCACTACTCAGTAACAAAACAGAATGAACCACTAATACACACAATAACACGAATATATCTCAAAACCATTATGCTGAGGAAAAGGAGCCAGGTACAAAAGAGTACACACTCTATGGCTCCATGTAGATAAAGTTCAAGAACAAGCTAAATCTACAAGAATAGAAATCAGAACTGTAGTTGTCTATGGGGAGGAGAGAAGGACTAATTGAAAAGAGACATGGGGAACTTTTAAGGGTATTAAAATATTCAATTTCTTGAATGCGAATAGTTACATGAATCTACACACACGTCAAAATTAATTAACTGGATTTTTAATATATAAATTACAACCAATAAAACTGATTTAAATCTGCCCCGCCGGCATGACTCAGTGGTTGAGCATCGACCTATGAGCCAGGAGGTCTCAGTTTGATTCCCAGTCAGGGCACATGCCCGGGTTGTGGGCTTGATCCCCAGTGTGGGGCGTGCAGGAGGCAGCCAATCAATGATTCTCTCTCATCACTGATGTTTCTATCTCTCTCTCCCTCTTCCTTCCTCTCGTGAAATCAATAAAAATACCTATTTTTTAAGAATTCATTTGATATCTTCTTTATGGATATTATGGATACCCAGTTAACGCAAAGTGTAATCTCTTGCCAAAAGCTGAATATATATTGGTAACAATCCTAATAAACTTAAAATAAGCTAAATCACAATCTAAAACACAAGCCCAAGTCTAAAAGTGTTTACCCAATGTCACAAGGATACAAGGCTAATTTAAGCCTACAGTAAAATAAAATGAACAGAAATAATCATGCACAGAATGAACAGGAATAACCAGCCTGTCTTTTCTAAAATAGGTGGTGACTTTTGACTACCATAAAATGTGAAGACAACTTCATGTCAATACTTTCTCTGCCTACTAGCAGTCTTTGAGGAGCGTACTACCCTATTTCAGTGACACCTATTTCTAAATCACTTTTTCTGATTTCTCTTCCCAAGTTTTCTCCTTTTTGGAGTAAAAATTCTATCTAGGAATATCACCCAACCACTTCATCTTGAATAACCCTCCTTACTTCTTACCCTTTGTCCAACTGCCTTGTTTGTCTATAACCTATTTGCTAATTTTTTTCTATATTTTCAAGCAATTAACATTTTTTCTTAACATTTTGAATTGAACAATTTCAGTTATTGTGTTCCTGTCTTTGTTCCAACGTTCCTCACTAAGATGCTGCTCACATTTAGAATACTTTACAACACTGCCTCTTTTTTTAAATATATTTTGATTTTTACAGAGAGGAAGGGAGATAGTTAGAAACATCAATGAGAGAAATATGGATTAGCTGCCTCCTGCACGCCCCATACTGGGGACTGAGCCCGCAACCAACCGAGCCCTACATGCCCTCCACCAGAATCGAACCCAGGACCCTTCAGACCACAGGCTGACGCTCAATCCACTGAGTCCAACGGGTTAGGGTGCTGCCTCTTTTACTTCACTCCTCCATGGGACCAGTGAATGATAAAGCCAAAGATCCCTTATGATTTCACTCCAAACTTTAAAAAACATAATTGGGTCATTTGATTCCAAAGCCTTATTACACACTTATCTTTCACATTTAAAAATGCTGCTGCTAAGGCACTATTCCTAACCACATGACTGAATGCATCCTTTCTAAGGGATGATCTTTTGTTCAGGGCTATACTTGTCTGCTTGTAAACATGCTGTTTGGAGCTGATTCCAATTCAGCTCTTGATCTACTGCAACTCTAGTTGCTGAGGTAGCTCATTATCACGGACCCTTCCTATAAGACTTTTGTATGGTGGCATCAATTATATTTGAAAATACAGCTATGAAATACTATACTAATATCAAAGGCAACACAAAAGACAGTGGAAGAATTCTAGAGTCTAGATAAAATAATCGCAAATATATCAATAGGCCCACATCCTTCTGTAACACCAACATGAAGTCATTTATATTAAAAGCCATTATCTTAAAATTTTCCTATAATGTATACTGGCCTTTCACATTTTTATTTATTTATTCATTTATTAATCACTGGAGAGTAAAGGTCACTGCATAAAAATCAGCCACAAGCTGTAGGGACTATCTTCTTCCTCTGAAACCTTGGGTATACCACTTAGCTTCTAGTTTCATCAGGAAATTGAGGTAACTTTATCTGCTTTCGAGGTGTGGGAAGAGTTAGAAGTAACTTACACAAGGTGTTTTACTCAATGTCTAGTATATAGGATGCTTTCAATAAATAGTACTTGGTAATAATAAACCACTGCATTCCACTGATATTCTCACTCTAGCACCCTTATCAATCCGAAATACGAGTGCTCATGTATGATCATACTGCCATTTATAATCCTACTCTCCCTTTTACATTCCACTCATTTTCCAATGTCTACAACAGGCTCGCTTTCTCCATTCACAAAATTACTTCCCACTCGCTGTAAGAAAAAAACAGCTTTAACCAGCGGTTATGAAGTTAGGGGGAAAAGCAGTGAAGGAAGGAACCACCTAAACTGTCACTGCTTTACTAAAATAAACACAGTATGACTACTACATCCTTACTTTACATTAATCTTTATTCAAAAGTCTTTTTTGAAGTCCATAAAAGTCAGGATCACTACCTTTCTCGTGTCCTATAAATAGAACTAAACAAGTCCTATGTAAAATAGAGTGGACAAAAATATGTAACTGATGAATTGTCAAGAACTGTCTAAATCCTAATGATTTGTCATACTAGAAATCAATTAATGAGACCTCACCACGTGGTGGAATGAGAAAGGATAAAACTAAATGTTTTGACTACTGATACAAAACTAGTTTGAAACACCTGGATTTTCTTCTCCTGGTTATACTCAAATCAATTATCTAAAAGATTAACTCAGATGCTTTCCTGCAACTATGTTTTCAAATTCCAATAAATAGCACTTCCTTGCTGCAGGGAGCTAGTTTTCCATATCCATTTTTATATCGTCTCAATTTCAGTAATAACAAGGAAAATAACAATACCGGCAACCAAATGTTATATTTAAGCATTCTTCTTTATGCAATGTTTTTTAAAAGGTTTACTTTAAGAAAAAATAATAGTGGCAAACTATAAAGTGCTCTATTTTATGTCCTCTCCCCAGAAAACCACAATGTAATTCCTGGTTTAAATGCCTATCAATGTTAAATGCATATATTTCTTTTTTTTAAATCATGCCCTTGACCGGAATCGGGCCTGGGACCCTCGAGTCCGCAGGCTGATGCTCTATCCACTGAGCCAAACCGATTAGGGCTATATTTCTTATTAAGTAAAGCCTAATTACAAGGTAAAACAGTGTTTGCTGCTTCATTTAAGAACACGCACACACAAGAACACACACACACAGTCTTTCCTAAAATAACATATTTGAAAATGGTAAAGTTTTCCAAATATTAATTACAATCCCAAATAAAAACTGCAGGGCAGTTCAATTATGGCACAATCAATGAATGACAGAGCATTTCATTTCAAAAATCCCTGAGTTTTAGGACCTAAACATCCCTTTATTCCAGATTCAAAAGAATTTAAGGCATTCAAATGCTACAACACACCTGTCTTTTAGTTATAGACATTGCTTCAATGAAAAACACAGCTTAAAAACCATGAAATGAAATCAATTCCACATAAAGCTATTGTATGATTCTGATCTCTGATCTGACTTGTAAATGAGATGTGTGTGACTTCCACTCTTCAGCAACCGGGAACTCTTTTCCCAGCAGAATGGCTGTTAGCTTCACTGCATTCTGACCAAAAGCGAGCGGTAGTGGCAGCAGCACGCTGACAAATTGAATGGTGCAGGCCTTGAATAAAGATTTCAAGGTAAGTCAAGAGGGAATCTTATTCTGTTTGTAAATAAACTGTATGAACTATATATAATGTAACCTATGTTTTATATCCTGGACTGACAGAGTTTTTCTTGAATACTAAGAAGAAAAAAATGTTCAAGATTCACTGAGAAAATAAATGGGAATCAACTTTGAGAAAATCTACCCACCTCATTTCCCAGAACTGCTTTCAAAGCCTCTATAAGTGATCTAAATAGATGGATGCCAAAAGCAGGGACTCTAACCAAATAAAACACTGATTTGGTTTAGAGAATACTTTGATGTTCTAGTTTTCTTGTGATTCAATAATTTAATAAATACATAGGTTTATTTCCAGTTCACACCCACTCCTTAAATTATTTTAAGTAAATTTAGTTAATAGATCTGAAGTTATTAGTTATTTTTAATGGTTGTTAATTTATTAACTGTTCTATATTAATACTGTACAGTATGATTTCCTACTGACTTTCAAGAAACTACAGAAAAGGATGTTTTCCTAGAAAGTTCAGGGTACAGTAACTTTTTATAAATAAAATGCCCTAAGTGAAAATTTCTATGTGAAAATCATAGTCCTTAAATCAATCTTTTTAGGTTAACATTTTTAAGTTAAGCAAATGTTTGTCTTTACAGTATTTACTTTGTGGTAAGAGAACCCAATAATAAAAAGTATAACTATATAACTTCGATATATATATATGAACTTTAAAGATTAATTACCAAGGCAATTACCATATATCACTATAGAATGAGAATACATTACACATTCCCCAAGTAAATATCAAATTTACTTCAACCACCCTCACCCCCACCCCACCAAAAAAGAAGTCATTTTTATTTAGTCATAGTCAAAGTCCTTGGACTCATAGTAGGGCTTCTTGATGCCATATTGGTGTCACATTCTGCCAGTCATCCAGTCAGCCTTCTTTTTCAACTTCTTTGTCTACTAGTGCATCACTGGACCCAGCAGGCAGCTCACCCAGACAATTTCAGTAACGGATTTTGGCTCTCTGTGCATAACAGATGAAAATCTTTACGAAGTATCCAGTTTGTCTTATAGCTGAGAGATCTGAACCTGCTGCAGATGTCACATATAAATTCTCGAACGGATTTTTATCATCTGTGTCACCTATAAAACAAGACAGTGTCACCAACAGCCTTGTCCTGGAGAACAACTATTTCAGTAATGCAAAACTTTCTGCATCATAACTACAGTCATTTATTTGCCTAAAACAGGGGTCAGTAAACTAGATCCCGCAGGACATAAGTGCCCTATTAGGTATACCACGACCTAAGAATAAATTTTCTATTAAAAAAAAAGTTTTAAAACTTTCGAAAAGTTTTTAGAAGACTAATATGAAAATTAGTGACCTGTGAAAATTACATGAAATACAAATTTCAGTCTCCAAAAATAAGGTTTTATAAGAACATGGCTACTTATTCTTTTTTCACATTTTTCTATGGCTGCTTTCATGCTAAAATGGCAGACTTAAGCAGGTGCAGTAGAGACTGTGTGACCCATAAATGCCAAAATATTTACTATCTGGTACTTTAAAGAAGTTTGCTGACCCCTGGCCTACAGGATATTTAGTGGGTAGATAATATGATACCTCGTGTCTTTTGCATAAGGAACCCAGTTGTTCCCCTGTTTACTTCTATCCAATCATTTAACACAGTCATGCGCCACATAATGACGTTTGGCCAACAAGAAAGAGCATATATAGTGGTCCCATAAGAAGAAACCCAAAGAAAATCCGTAGTGAAGTGTTTAGCAGAAACTCTTATAGACCAATGAGCTTCTCAAAAGTTTGAAAACATGGACCTCAACACCAAATTGTTTCACTAATACAGAGGAAGTGTTTATGGTACATTAGCTCCTTACAAGTGAATGTATGATTTTAAAAAAGAAAAAAAAAATCAAGCAAACAAATATGAATATACTTCTGAAAAGAGGGACACCTCCTCAAGAAGAAACCAGCCTGGCTGGCATGGCTCAGTGGTTGAGTGTCGACCTATGAACCAGGAGGTCATGGTTCGATTCCCAGTTAGGACAAATAACCAGGCTGCAGTCTCCATCCCCAGTAGGAGGTGTGCAAGAAGCAGCCCATCAGTGAGTCTTATCATTGATGTTTCTCTCCCTCTCCCTTCCTCTCTAAAATCAATTAAAATACATATTTTGTAAATCTTTTTTTTTTTTTAAAGAACTCAGGCAGGTCTTTCTGGAGCTGAAGCAGGCATTGTTAAAGGAGATGACAGCTCCATGCCTGTTACTGCCCCTGAAGACTTCCGTGGGACAAGATGTGGAGGTAATAAGTAGTGATACAGATGATCCTGACACTGTGTATGTCTAGGCTAGTGTGTGTGTGTGTGTGTGTGTGTGTGTGTGTGTGTGTGTTAGTTTTTAACAAAAATGTTTAAAAAGTAAAGAATCAAAATAAAAAATGTTAAATATAAAGCTTATAAAATGATATAAAGAAAATATATTTGTATAACTTTATTTTTGTGTTTTAAGCTATTATTACAAAAGAGTAAAAAAATTAAAATTTAAAAGTTTGTAACTTAGCCTGGCTGGTGTGACTCAGTGGACTGAACATCGTCCCATAGACAAGAGATCCCAAGTTTGATTCCAAGTTAGGGCACATGCCCGGGTTGCTGGCCTGACCCCCAGTAGGGGTTGTGCAGGAGGCAACCGATGGGTGTCTCTCTCTCTCATTGATGTTTCCATCTCTCCCTTTCCCTTCTCTCTAAAAATCAATAAAAATGTAAACATATTTAAAAATAAATAAAAGTTTATGTTAAAAAGTTATAGTAAGCTAAAGTTAATTTATTATTGAACAGAGAAATATTCTTAATAAATTTAGTGTGCAGTGTTTATAAAGTCTACAGTAGTGTACAGTATCTTAAGCCTTCACATTCACTCACCACTTACTCAATGACTCACCCAAAGGAACTTCTAGTCCTGCAACCTCCATTCATGGTAAGTGTCCTATTAGGTATACCACTTTTTATCTTTTATACTAGAGACTCGATGCACGGAGATTCGTGCAAGAATAGGCCTTCCTTCCCCTGGCTGCCAGCACCGGCTTCCCTCCGGCACCCAGGACCCAGGCCTTCACTCTGGCCGCTGCCTTCCAACTTCGCCCCAGCCCTGTCACCCTCCTGTAGCTCCCTCCACTCCCTGCCCCGCCCCCAGCAAGCATCTATCTCACCCCACCCCGGCCACTCTGTGGGCACTGCCCAGAGGCCTGGAGCGCCCGAGAGGGGTGGAATGCCTGCGTCCTGGCCTGGCCACTGCCATCTTTGTCACGTCAATTTGCATATTCCCTTCTTATTGGCTGTGGGTGCCGCCATCTTTTCGTGAAGTGATGGCCAATTTGCATATTGTCTTTATTAGATAGGATGATATTTTTACTGTATCATTTGTTTAGATATGTTTATGCACAAGTACTTCCCACTATATTACAAATGCTTACAGTGTTCAGTACAGTAACATGCTATACAAGCTTGTAGCTTAGGAGCAATAGACTAGACCAGTGGTCGGCAAACTGCGGCTTGCGAGCCACATGTGGCTCTTTGGCCCCTTGAGTGTGGCTCTTCCACAAAATACCACGTGCGGGCGCGCACGTACAGTGTGACTGAAACTTCGTGGCCCATGCGCATTAGTCGGTATTTTGTGGAAGAGCCATATTCAAGGGGCCAAAGAGCCGCAAGTGGCTCACAAGCCGCAGTTTGCTGACCACTGGACTAGACCATAGAGCCTAGGTGTGTAAGTAGGCTATACCACCTGGGTTTGTACAAGTGCACGCTATGATGTTCACACAACAACCGAATTGCCTAACCAGTCATTTCTCAGAATGTATCCCAACTTCTCAGAATGTAAGCAACACATTGCTGTATTTCTTGGGTAGGCCTGTCATTCCAGCAGACAACTATAATCACTTTACTTTCTACTTTAATTCAGCCTTGCCTCAATCCAAGGGGTAAATATTGCCCATGGGCAGAAAGAAGGCAAAGAGCTCAGCCTCAGGTCGAAGTCTAATTCTCCAATGTTGGCCTCTTCTGTGTCCTCCTAGTCCTCCTGATTCTGTATTTCTGCTGTATAGGCTTCCTATACTGGATACCAGTCTTAAAATCTCTTGATTTTATTAAAACTTTAACACTCCTCTTTCTATTGTAAGAGGAGAGGGGAGTTTCTTGCCACCATGGGACTGCAATGGATAAATGTATTTGACCAGATTTCTGAGTTAAAATATAATTCTCGACAGGAAGTTGTTAACAGTCCACAATGAGACTATGTCCATACTATTAATGTCACTATAGAACCCATCCGTAATTCATATGCTGTTGCAAACAACTAATTCACAAATACATTCATAAATTGTAAACTGACTAGAAAATCACTATGAATAGCAGGAAGACTCTAACAGCAGACAGATTAAGCCTAGTGTAAAGACTTCAGAGAAAATGGTAGTTCATTCTCAGCAAAGTGAAATTTCACAACCCTAAAGTAGCTTGCCTTGCTAAACAGCTCAGAAAACTGCATGAATAGCTCACAACCAAGAATGGTATCAAGAATGAATGTGCTGCCCTAGCCGGTTTGGTTCAGTGGATAGAGCATCGGCCTGCGGACTCAAGGGTCCCAGGTTCGATTCCGGCCAAGGGCATGTACCTTGTTTGCGGGGACATCTCCAGTAGGGGGCGTGCTGGAGGCAGCTGATCGATGTTTCTCATCGATGTTCCTAACTCTCTATCCCTCTCCCTTCCTCTCTGTGAAAAATCAGTGGGAAATATATTTAAAAAAAAAAAAAAAGAATGAATGTGCTAATTGGAATAACCATTAACCAAATCTCAGTTTCGGATAGCAACCCTATCAATCTTAAATAGAAATAAAAGTCTTTAAAACAAATACAGGAATCTTCTGCCCATTTGGGTAATAATATAGACGGTTAGTGACATGTCCTTGCAGCCAAGAAAAGAAACTAGAGGCATGTACTCCATATTTCAAATAAATATGCAACAGATTGAAGTTTAAAATTTTACCCATTTGATGAATCTAGCCTC